CAAGAGTGGTGTGATTGTAATTATACATTATGTAGAAATTTTTTTTTTTTTAAACATATACACCGTGTTTTATAATAAAACCATTTCAAGACGTAGGATGCCATTAATTCTATAGATGTATAAGGCTGGATTCTTGAGTATGTAGGGAGACTGCCCCAACCGTAGTAGAAACGTTGCAAATTGTCAAGCACTAACCATGCTCTTTTCTTTTTTTTTCTTTTACTTTTTTCTAAAAAGGTATCCCTTCCAACTCTTCATCTCCTCCTTCCACAATCATTGTTAACTCTTCGTATCACAACCCACAAAACCCTAATACCATTCACGTCCAACTTAAACCCTAGTTTTTTCGCTCCACGCAGCTAAATATCAACCTGACCCATATGCCTAACTTTTGTAGCCATCAAAACCCCACTCCACGTAGCTCAATATCAACCAGACCCATATGCCTAACTTTTGTAGCCATCAAACCCTTGCATCATCATCAAAACACCTCGTGCTGATAAAATACAGCTACCGTACCCTTGTCTTAGAAGTTCTAAGCTGTAAAGCTCTCACTTCCTCTATCTTAAAAATAATTCCCTATTTATCTCTCTTACCTATTTATTTATAGAATGTGTTTTATCTAGTGTTTTAAAAAACGGCGGGTCGAATCGGACTCGAAAACATGCATGCCCGTGCCGGTTCCCACCGAAAATCGGGAACCGCTCGGTTATTTATATACCAAATTTGAATACTCATCTTTCGATGTGAGATAATTCCCAAACATCATTAAATGAAAACGAAATGTAAATATAATTTATTAATCAGCAATTTATATTCATATGTAGTTAAATGGCTTGATGGTTATAACTTTTAATTTTTTACTTGAGGTCCGAAGGTCCAATCCCCTTGGGCATGTGTTGCATTTGAATCCCCTTGGGCATGTGTTGTATTTTTGTTGTGTATATAGTAGTCGATATAAATATTTTTTTTGTTTTCGAATCTCCTTGGACATATGTTGCATTTTTGTTGTATATATAATGGTTGATATTAATATAAATATTTTTGTTGTGTATATAGTGGTTGGTATAAATATAAATATTTTTGTAAATAATATAAAAGACATAAAAAAATGAAAAATAAAAAACTTAATTTTTTATATAAACGTTAATTTTTTTGTATATAGTGGTATAATTATTTTTGTAAATAATATGAAAGGTATAAAAAAAATAAAAATAAAAAGTTTATTCTATTTGAAATCTCCATCTTTCTACTAACAATCTCTTTTACTAAATTTATTATAGAAACCTAAAAAAATAATGTTTTGAAAAATTGAAGTGTTATTTTCAAAATTTGTACACATTTTATTAATTTTTACATTGATAACTAAATCTTTTATTTTATTTATGAATTTTTACATTATAAATCATGTAATGTATTATTTTTCTTATAGTTGTCAATAATACATTTTAAATTAGATAATATTATAAAATATTTTTAATTTGTTATTATTTGTCTAATAAAATAATTATAAAATGTAAACTAATAATTATAATTTCAGTATATAATATTATAATTAGTGAGATTGTAATAATTTTGGATTATAGTTAGTTAGGCTGTAATAGTTTGGGTTTTTTTAGCGGGTTAGGGTTTTTCACCAAAACGAGATTTTAATGGCCATTTTTTCGTTGATTAGTCTACTCTTTATAATAGTCTATATATAATTATATATTTAATCCATGATAATTCTATGATTATTCTTTTATGTGATGCAAATTTAATAGTTAAAATAAATTTATACAGGGAAAGAACATCTCAATATTCATAAATTGATAAAAAAAATGAAAGTTAATAATGTAGTACCCTCATTTTTTATTGAATTCCTAAAAAACAACATTTATAATAAATTTTAATAATTTTTTCGGATTTTTTTGAAGCTTTAATCCGACCGATTCAGCCGATTCCCGATCCGGATCGCTAATTCATCTATCCGGATCGGTTTTTGAGGTGCCCGATTCGGGTCACCGATCCGTTTTTTAAACCATTGGTTCTACCATTTTTAATAGAATTCAGGCCCCTTCTTATCTTCTGTCTACTCTTTTAACTATGGTTTAATAATGTAGGATATATATATATATATATATATGAAAAACTGAGATTAGCCTACTAGTTTATATAAACATATGAGCTCAACGGTTCAAATTGAATCTAAACCAATCTCGACGATCACAGATGTTCGGTAGTGCCTGAATTTTATTTTATTTTTAATACAAATCCAAATCACTTGAAATTTTAAACGTGTATTCTTCTCATCAAGGCGCACCTACTAAAAATATAAAAAAAAATTATTGGTGATAAAAATGATCAAAATACCCTCGAAACTTTTCAGGGGTATATTGGTCAATTTATTTCATGTAAAATATTTTTTTGATATTTTTGGAAGATTCACCTATTTTTGATAAACACACTCCTAAAATTTCGAGTGATTTAGATTTATTGAAAAAAAAATTCAAACACTACTGGATATTCGTGATCGTCAGATCGGCCCAAATTCAATCTGGACCATTGGGCTCATATGTTCATATAAGCTAGTGGGCTAATCCCAGCTTTTTTCATATATATATATATATATATGGAAAATTCTTCCCAATGCCTATAGGCGAAAATGACCAATGATTTCGCCTACCCTCATCACTGTCCAAAGTTCATCGCACGGTCACGAGTCCGATAGTGTTTTATTTTTTTTTATTTTTTTATTTTTGGAATGACCTAAAATTTGAAGTGTATATACATCTTAGTGAAACTCATCTAATAATAATATAAAACTAATAATTTGTAAAAACTAAATGGACCAAACTACCCTGAAACATTTTGAGCGCATTTTTCATTGAAATGTTTTCCTAGTTATATTTAACTATATTTTTTTATTTCCGCTTGAAGCAAAGATTAAATGTTCTCTTTCTCTTTCTTGGACAAATAAGATTTTTTTGGTTAAATTTTAATTAAAAGAAATAAAAATGTGTAGAAAAAAGCCAATGAACAGAAAGTAATTAATTTACCACTGATAAAGAAAAAATGGTCGAAATACATTCATAAAAATTCAAAAAATTCACCCCAGTACATAGGGGCATATGAATTAAGTAATCTAATACATTAGCTACATCTTGCATCTTAATCTATTAGCATTCTAATGCATACCTCTTGCATTGAGTAGACACCTAATTAAAAAAAAGAATAAGAAGAAT